TTTTAATTAAGAATATTTATTAATATAAATCGGGTTGTACCGATTTATATTAATAAATATTCTTAATTAAAATTTAAAAACAGAAGAAAAAAAAGAATCTGAGCTTTTACAATTTTGACACTTCAATAAAACATCATTCCTAATAGTAGATTACACACATGCACATATGAACAAACGGGAAAAAAAGAAAAAGAACAAAACTGAGGAACACAGAACAAAAAATAGGCCGAAGTAGATACACGGTTAAAAAAATAGTATCAAAAAGAAACAAAAAAAATTGAAAAAGAATAGATATGTACATACAATCCGAAAGGAAACAGGAAAAAAATCAAAAAAGCTCTAGCAATACATTTCTTTTTTCTTATTCTATTTATTTCTTGTAGAACATCACATTTTATTCGCTATTTTATCAGAGAATACTAATCTATACTTTAATTATTAAAAAAGAACGAGACATGAGAAAAACAAATATGTCACTGTGTCGACTAGAGTATTTCGTTTTGTCAACTATTGTCAAGAAGATACAAAATTATCAAATGAACCCAAATATTCAAGAGCTGAACGATAACAAAATTGATATTGATCCTAAAAGAATTATAATTAAATACATATATATATAAATATAAATCAATTACTTCTGTTTGAACAAGTGCTGGACGTTGTGTACGTAATAATTTCACCGTTTGAAATACATCAACAACACCTTCATAGCGTATTCTTTCAAGTACAATACTTAATGTAAGAAATACACCTGTTCGTCCGGCACCTTTTTTATAAAACAAAAATTAATATCATCAATATATATGTATAATCTTTTAGAAACTATATTTACCAGCTGAACAATGTACAACAATAGGTCCTTCTTGACCAAAACCTTCTTTAGTTTTATGTACTTGTCCAATAAAATCAATAAAACCTTCACCAACTTTTGGTACACCTTGTTCAGGCCATTCTGTATATAGAAAATGACGAACAGTTCGAGATTGTCCATCCTATTTTAGGAAAAAAAAATATTCATTTTTGTTCAATAATCAAAGAAAATTGTTTTTCTTACTCTTGAATCTATTACTTTAAATTCACTTAATAAATATTGTGGCATATTATAAGCACCAACTGGATCAACAATAAAATATCCATAACGTGTTGATCGATCTGTTGGCCAATATTGTACGCATTTTTCTCTACCCATTTCTTTTAATTTAGTCAGCATAACAATAATGGTTACATTATGTTCCCAAACCATTCGCCAAAAATCATCGATTGTTTCATTTAATGGTCCTTGAGTTGCAATATAACCGTTTTTAAATCGATAACCCTAGAAATAAAGAGGATATATATTCAACATGTTACCATAAAGATATTTATTTGACTTACATCAATATATGATGCATTGATATAATCTGATCCTTCAACACCACGAATAGGTGATAAACATACACGAGTATTTTCATCTAAAAATACATAATAATAATAATATTAAAAATTATGATTTTTATTTAAATTAAACTTACAAGGTAAAATATTTACAAGACGATTTTTAAATTTATTAGCTGGATTATTTGCACTTAAAAATTTTGAAGGTTGAGCTTTAATATTCGCCAAACGCTAAAAAAAACAAGCATGTATGATTTATAAGATCAAATTTTTTTTTTGTTTTGAATTCTTACTTTAAATTCAAGTTCCATTTCTGTTAATGAACTATCATTTATTGGTTGTAATAATCGTTGTAAATGTGCTAATAAATTCCTTGCTAAAACTTCAGTTTGCCCTGATTGAATAGCTTCATTAATGGCTTCATATATAAATATATATTGTTCTTCAGTTTGAACAATATAATTTCTATTCAAACAAAAAAAAAAGAAATTTTAGTGATTTGTGATTGCCCATTTCTCTTAAGCTATGATCGTAGGGTATTTTATTATCTAAGTACACTTGAGAAGAAAGTTTTATTTGTTACACTCGTCTCACTTAAGATAAGAGAAGATACTTTTTCAATGTCTCACTTCAAATGAAATATCTATTTTTAGGAAAAATAAATCAAAACATATGGCAATTACACTTTTTCATCGAGGTTTATATATTTACAAAGCTAATCATTATGTGGACAGATGAAAAATATTTATATTTAATTAGCTAACTTATGTATCGTCATAAATGTTCATTAATATATAGACTATATTTAGAATAAATTCTACTGTGTTGTCTCGCTTAATAACGGATGTCTATTTGATAATTTAGTTAAAGAAAACATGTCAAAATTAGATGCTTACCGTTGTGCTCTTAACAAAGTGACATGTCCATAAATATCAATAGTTTTTTCATGTTTTAATCTTTCTAATAAAGCATCAACAACAATAAAACAACCAGTACGACCAACACCAGCAGAACAATGTACAATTATTGGTCCAGCATCTGATGGATTTAGAACTTTTACTCTTCGAACAAACATTAAAAATGATGTTGCATGTTCCAGTATGCCATGATCTATAAACAAAATAAAATAATTCATAGCAAATAATAAATCTTATCAATTATTACCTGGCCATGCTGTAAATTGACAATGTCGAATTTCTCGTTTTTCTGGATGACCAGTCTAAAATAATTTAGTTTTAATAGTTTTTTGAAATAGAAATATTCAAATCTTACCCATGCTATAGTAAATGTTCGAATACTATAAGATGAAAGTTCAATAAAATCTGTTAAAGTAACTTGAATTGATCCATAGACTTCTGTTCCTCGCGATGGCCAATATTGATCACATTTTAATCGATTTCTTTCTTCTAATTTTGTCATCATAACAATACAAGCTGAGTTTGTTTCCCAAATCATTCTCCAAAAATCAGCAAATGTATTTGGTAATGGACCTTGTGTTGCTATATAGGCATTTTGTTTTCTATATCCATCTAAATAATTTGCATTGATATAGTCACTTCCTGATATACCATCAATTGAATGTAAAATAACACGAGAATGATCATATGCAATAACATTTGCATAACGATTTTTTGGTTTATTATATTCTAATTTAGAATTTTCCCAAGAAAATTGTTGACCAGGATCAATGGATTCATATTCTTGAGAAAATTTATAATTATCAGTTGCTTTTAAACGCTCAAAGTTACTTCTTTATTAATAGCAGTATATGTATTTGATGTTTGTGTTCGTCGTAATTCTACAGGTTCATTTGATGATGCTGGTGATATTGTTGGTGGTAAAATAGCCATTTGCATTTCCAATGTTAAAACTTTCGGTGTTAAATCAAATGGTACACATTCAGGTGGTGGTGTTAATGGTTTCTTTTTTGTTCGACTATATTT